CAACACTGAGGCTAGCAGGTTGGTGGCTAGCTGACGCAAAAACTTGAGCTAACAGGAAGGTAGCAGGTCGATGGCTAGCCAGCACAGAGGCTGGAGCTAACATGAGGCTAGCAGGTCGAAGGCTAGTTGAAGCTGGTGCTGGAGCTATCATAAGGCCATTAGGTCTGAAGGATAACCGACACCAGGAGCTGGATGTCCCAGGTGGCTGGCAGGCTGGAGGCTAATCAAGGCCTTTCTAACCACTTCAGGAGGTTCTAAAGCCAGGATTTCTTGGTCTTAGCCTTAATCAGGCTCCCCTTGAGGTCTGTGGTGGCACTGAAACAAACAAAAATCCATAAGATCCTGTGGTCTGAAGTTCTCTCCTGCTGGGTCCATTTTGTGGTCGGTTCGTACTGTCATGAGGGATTCAGAAAATAGGACCCAAGTGCAGACACAGATGGTGTCCAGGTTGTGTCAAAAAGGAATTTTATTCAAACAAAACTTCCTCAACAAAAGGTAAAGGGGGCAAACTCAAGACAGCTGGAGTATCTGGAGAAAATACGAGGTCCATAAAAACTAATCCAGTGAGAAAAGAATCCAAAAAGGTCCAAAATGTCAGAGCAGGTGAAAACTAAAGAGGTTTGAGGAACATGAGGAACACAACCAGGATACAGAAAACTAAACATCCAAACCAGAAACAGACGAAAAGAATAAGACAAGTTAACATGAATGAACTGACAAAGACAGAAGGAAAGACTTTTTATGCACCTGACACACGATACACAGGTTAAACTGATAAAGTCAATCAACAGAGAAAAAACACAAGTGACTCACAAGGAAAGACGTTTCCAAAATAAAACAGCTGGTAAACAGAAAACAAAACCCAAAGTTCTTCCTGAAGACATAAACATTAATAATGACTCCCAAATATAAAGCTGTTTTTTTTTTTAAAGCCTCGGCAGCTTCTGAAAACTGTATTTTTCTGTAAACGTTGCTCAGACAGAAGGAAACGGTGCACTTGTTTTCATCTGTGCATTAACAGGAGTCCTGTGTGAGCAGCTGGATGGCGTTTGACTCGAAATAAACTACAAGTGTTCATCGTAATAAAAGACCACGTCGGCTCACTGATGTGTTTTTAGTTTGTGGACAACAGTGGAGCTTTGTGGCACACAGTAACACATAGATCAGACTTTAAATGCACACACAATCAGATTTGTTGACAGTATGAGAAGTATAGAACATCTAAAGCCTGTTTCAATAAATCTTAACTCTCTACGGAGTTTTTTTTTCCCACTAGGGGGCAGAAAGACTCCAAAACAAACCCATAAAAACCGATCCGGTTCCCATCAGTATGTGCCGTTGCAGTGGTCCTGGTTGAGTCCTGTGGGGCTCATACGTGATGAGATGCGAACCGTGCACACACCCTTGGCATGCATATCTTCGGTTAGCCTGTGGCCTGACAAACATGCTATTGCCGTGCACATGCAAGACGGACCCACAAAAACAGATGCTTGAACCCAGCAAAGAGGCCAAAGAGAGGGCGAGAGGCGACTCGACGTGTCGCCGCTTCAATCTTACAGCTTCCAGAAAGTCATCAGCTCGAGAATCTTCAGTCTGACATCATCACGATGGCGTCTATTTCTGTGCCCCTTTGTCTCCTCGGCTTTTGTTTCCTTACAATCCCCGTCTCTTTCTCGCTGCTTCTCCATATTTGGACTTGGTTTATCTTGTCTTTTCCCTCCTCTTCTCTGAGATATTATCCTTTCTCTCCCTCCTTTTTTTTTTTTTTATCAAAAACCCCCATCCAGAAATTTGTCAGTGATCTTAATCACTGATCCAGACCCAAAAGGAGTTCTGCCAAAACAAATGCCAAGAATTCTGCACTGGATGATAGCTTCGTGTTTGCCAGGAAGACTCTGAGCTCGCAGGTTCTTTTTGGTGCCATATTTTTTTTTAATCAGAAGGAATTTGGATCTTTGAAATTAGATAATAAACCGGTCTGTTCACCCCAAAGCTGAGCGAGCCACTGCTGCATGCAGGCAGGCCCTGAGTTGATTAGAAGGAGTTAATTTCACGGCATGTAAAACCAGGAGGGGGGCTCGTTGTAAACACTGTCTGCAGCCTGAAGACATGCATGCATACATGGAGACAAGCGAACAGGAGGGTCGCTAATGCACAGGAGGGATGGGTGGACGGTAGGACAAGGGAACGGGGGGGAGAGGAAGGACACCTGGGAGGCTCGTCTGGGGCAGAACGACTGCAACAACAAGGCCGAAGAGAGAAAAAGGAGAGGAAAGGGAAGCTCGGAGAGTCAATATAAAGTTGACGGGGTGGAGGGGCTTTTTGGAGGAGCGTCAAGAATTCGCCTTTTAAGGGGTACAGTCTCACTCTTCCAAGCCCTGCGAGCTCTTGCGTAGCAGCCAAAACACTCAGGGGAGAAGAAATAAACAACAGCAAAGAGGGAACGCGCCAGTATGTGTTCACACTTTAGCCATTTTTAAACATGCACGGGGCCACTTAAAATGTAGAAGAATGCGTCTGGCGTCTTCTGTCGTGTAGGTGCGAGTTCTGCAGCGAGAGAAAGAGACTTTGTTTCAGTAAACAAGCGACGGCTCGGTGTGGCTGTGAATCACCGGCCTGAGCAGCATCCCGGCAGCTGGCGTCACCGTCGCCGGTTTTTCTTGGTTGTTCTCCGGGACAATACCGACAATGTGCAGGCCGGGGTTAAGGAGCGCCCGGGAGCAGGAAGCAGAGGGGAGCTGAGGAGGAGAGCTGGGTGGGGGTGAGAAAACAGAGAGGTAATTGTATATGTAAGAGTGAGGCAACCCTGGCAGAAGCAGGAGGAGAGGGAGGAGGAAGGAAGGCAGAGACGGTGGACGAGAAAGGGAAGAAACGCAGGACGGGGATGGGAGGATGAATCCTTGATATGCCAGAGGAGGGATGTAGTGAGTGTGCACAGGAAAACAGAAAGTTGTGGGAAGTTTGGGAAACAAAGAAGGGGCAGCGAGAAGGGGGCTGGGGCGGCAGAACGAGTCCACATGTGAGGTGTTTTTAGAGTGGAGGCGGCGGAGGGGGCCAGAGTGTATCCTCGGTCCCCGGAGCAGCGCTGAACCGGAGCCAGGAAAAGGGGAAGGGCCTCCGTCTCCTCCTTCTCCAGCTGACAAAAACAGCTGCCCAGAGCCCGCTAAAGGACGGAGGGGAAGAAGGAGCCAGAGAAGGGAGCGAGGAGGAGGAGGGAGGGAGGACGGACGCAGAGACGAGACAGAGGAGGATCGAGACCCCCAGGCCCGGGACACCCTCCACCCATATGGGTTGCGTCCTGAGCTCGGACTGGTGCGGCGAGGCAGAGGTGCAGCCGGTGCCGGTGGTCAGGAGCTCGTCCGTGAAGCGTCGGAGCCCGGAGAGGAGCGACAGCGGCAGGATGAGGCTCACCAAGGTCAGTGTGCATGAGGCGCTCACGTGCACGCGACGAATCGCAGCGCCGATGCCGACGCTCCGGGTTCAGACGTCACGTGATGCAGTTTGATGGAGCAACGGCAGCAGCAGCAGGTTTTGCAAGTTTAAAGGCACATCAGCTGCTTAGTCTGCTGAAAGGATGGATCTATGGAGGGTTGGTGCAGATGTTCATGCTCCCCTGAGGATGAGCCCCTCCTCAGGTTTATGTTTGGGGTTTTTAGTCATATGGAGACTGATGACTTTTCGCTGCTTTAGTTTGTCTTTGATTTACGACAAAAGCTTGACGAGCATAACTGATAATATCTCCATCAGTCTCAGCTGCACTTTGTGTTTGTGCTAATGAGCATATAGAAGTAAGATTAAGAGGTTGATCTACGTAATTAATGAGACTGTGGGGGTCTTGGCATTAATATTTATTATAATGAGCTTTGGTTGGACATTAATCCATTATATTTAAAGTACTCGGGTAATTTAAATGAACTCACTGGGTTCATTTCTAATAGACTTTCTACTGGAAGCACTTTGGTTCGACTGCTGTTGCTTTAAATGTGATGTATGTAAGTGATGGTGACTTGATTTAAATCAATATGTAGCTCACATATATGAGACATGGACAAGATGAGATGAGACGCTGCACAGATTCCTCTGGATGTGGAAAACAACAACATTGCACGTATTCATTTTATTCTTCCATAAGTTCAAATCCTGATATTGCACAGATCTCATACTTGTATATGAAGAAAATTTACAGTAAGTAAGCTTAAGTTAACCTGCAATCCAGTATGCAGATTGGTGTGTGCTGGTTGGTGCTGACAGAGCAGAAACCTTTCTTTAAAACATTTGCATGTCACCCACTGATTCTACCTGATAAACACCAACAGGAGGTCCCTGTGTTAGCGTTTAGCTCAGTACAGCCTCAAGAAGTCATTAACTTGTTGTTTATTAACAAATGATTCAGCAGAAGTGAGTTTTAGTTGAAAGATGCGGAGGATTTAGGCTGTTTTTTTCATATTTTGCAGATTATGTAATTCGTTATAACGCACAGTCGGGGAGAAAATTAGCATGAAATCATTTGTTCGGCGGTAGGTGCTCTAAAGAAATCAGTGTGTTTTATGGTGTGTTTCAGACACCTGATGCGAAACAGAAAAGTCAAAGGTCATGTGGAGAAGTGATGCTTCTCCTTTAATTCGATGCGAGAGTCTCACAGACGTGTGCAGACGCTGAGACAGAAAAAGCGATTGTTTCTGTGGTTTTCTTACAAGGAGCGAGTGTGTTTGGTTCGGCCTGGTTTTAACAGATGATGCGGATGACGACGGCACCTCTGCATCTGCGCGGCCACAATGGCAGCGTTGTGTCGCGTCGCGTTCACAGAGGCAGAGCAGCAGAGTGGCATCAAAAGACCACAGAGGAGCTCGACCTCCGACCGCCGGCTCGCATGGCGGCGGATTACACGCAGCCCGGAGAAGCTTGTGGCTTTTTTTTTTTAAATCCAGCTGTCCAAGCATGTTTGCCGCCATCTGGGCCCCGTGTTCCGTGTGCACGCTCGGTCCCAGCGGCTCCATATCACATGCCGAGCGGCGTGGGAACGTGGAGGCCTCTGGACGACGTCATCCTGCAGAGACTGACCCCACTGCATGGGTGTGGGAACCAGTTAGATCCCAGCGATTATCCAAGAGGAGGAGATGTTGTCCTCATCTATTTATGGCCCCCTCTTCTTTTTTTTTTTTTTCACAAACTTGTTTTTCACTTCTCGATGTTTTTCATAGGCTCGAGGACATTCCTGTGTGAGATGCGAAGCGTCAGTGAGAACCGGACTAATATGAAGAAGGAATTTAACTTCTGGCTGTGCGATTACATAATTGGCGGATGTTGTGTCAGTAACATGGGAAAGGAACGTTCTGTTTCAAGTGATAGCTTATTGAAAGTTCACATCGCGCACCAACAGCTTCTTTGCATACTTGTGGTTTTGCATTGCTGAGCTTGAAGCGTTCCCTCAGAAATTACCGACGCCCGTGTTGATCTTGTGTCCTTAACGATTATTTTACAGCCAGTTATTGGATTGTAAAGCCGAATTCCCTCATTCACCTCGTCGCGGCCAAAGCTCCCTGTTTTCGTCCAGAGATTGTTAAACAGCTACAGAGACGTCGAGCATCAATAAACGGCCTCCTAATGACGGATTCTTGATATAAACAGGCGCTGGCTGCGAGCGCCGCTTCATGTGGTTCTCTTTAGGAGACAAAGCGCCGAACTCTGCTGTGGTGGATGACGCAGAATTCATGTGGGACGAATCAAAGTAGGCGCAGTGATGAAACCGTCACCTCTGGGTTGTATTCCAGCCGTAAAATGACTTTTCTGTTGCGTGTTGTGATCACAAACAGGCTGCACTGGCACTCAGAGTTTAGCTTTTTTAGCGTCTTGGTGAGACTCCTAATAAACCATTTAATTCACAGACATGTGCAGCCATCATACAAGTCCAAGAGTTTCAATGGAATCTTAAATCTTTAGGTACATTTTCAGCTTTCTTTGCCAGCAGACGTCTGTAAAACGCTTCAGTCGACAATAAATCACCTCTAAACCTCCCGGATGGGTTCACGGTAGACAGACATTGTACCTGAATAGTTTTAGCTCCTCCAGTGAAATGAGGGGAAATGTTTGGTTCTGAGTCTCCAGAACTGTGGATCCAGATGTTCGTGCTCCCCTGAGGATGAGCTGCGATAACTGTTGTCATCCTGAGACTTTCCCTCTAGCACCGTCAAGTTGTCCATCATTTTTTCTCCATATTACTTTGTGGTTGGGGCTAATTAGCAAATGCTAACACACAAAACTAAAACAGCTATCGTGGCCTGATAAAAAGCTAGCATTTAGCCCACACTAGCGTGGCTGTGGTCAGCTCATAGGATGTGTCGTCCAATCACATTGGAGGGCAACAGAAAGGTGTTTGAATCTGGTTTATAAGTAATGTTGCATCAAATAGAGAAGTGATGCAGGTATCACATGCTGCAGGTGAAGTGGGTGTAAATGGGGGAATTGCCAACGTTGGAAAGTTGTGCAAACAAGTTCTGCCACTTGTCTGTGTGATATTTGTCTTTGATGCTTTAATCTTTAAAGATGTGGCTTAGAAATGGTGGGAACTTAAAACTATTCCATCCCCCAAAAAGACCCCGATACCAACACCGAAAATGGTCACCGCTCATCCAAATGACTTCAAAGTGGATTCCTAACGTCCCCTAAAACCGAGTCTGGTGCAGATCGGATCAATGGTTTCCAAGAAAAGTGTGGAAGACAGACACAAAGACAGAGATGTATTCATTTATTAGTGAGATCAACGGACAGAAAATGGTCAGAACTGTTAGTCGTTTTAGGGTTTCTGAAGATCTTCCATCATCCAAAGACTGAAGCAGCTGCTGGAGTCTCATTGGGTTGGTTTTCTTTAGGATAATGACACAAATTTCTTGTTTCTTGCTGGTTCTTGAGGGGAAATGTTGTTAGTTGTCTTTCCACTTACAAAAAACACCCCCATACAAACACCGAAAATGTCTGCTGCTCAATCAAATGACTTCAAAGTGGATTCCTAACTTCCCCAATTGGATAAAAACCGAGTCTGATGCAGATCGGATCAATGGTTTCCAAGAAAAGTGTGGAAGACAGACACAAAGACAGAGATTTATTCATTTATTAGTGAGATGGACGGACAGTTTGTGGTTTCTGAAGATGTTCCATCATCCAACAACTGAAGCAGCTGCTGGAGTCTCGTTGGGTTGGTTTTCTTTAGCATAATGATATAGATTTCTTGTTTCTTGCTGGTTCTTGGGGGAGATTTTGTTGTTTTTCTGGATAAAAGAGCGAATGCAATCTCAGCTCTTTCTTGTGTGTTGTTGACCATTGAAATATATAGAGCCTTGGCGTTGCGACAGCGGTTTTTATACGTATTTGTCTTTGCTTTCCCTGTAATTTCTCACGAGCAACAGAGTTTAGATTGGCCGTGACCAACACAGAGGCCTTGAGCCACAGGCATCCACACCCAACACAGGAAGTGACCGGTTGGGGTTAAATATAGACCCCCCCCTCCTGCCCCGATATCTGGAAAGGTTGTTCTCCTGCGTGGTAGGAAGAAGGTAGAATCCCATGTAAATAGGCTCGGGGGGGCGGCTGCCATCCACTGGATTCCTGTGGCTCGAAAACAATGATCTGTCCCAAAGTGTGGGCAGGATTTGAGGAATGCTTGTTGTTGTGCGTGGCGGGCACGCACATGAAAGCCGACGGCGGTGGCGACGAAAGAAACGGGGGGAAGACATAAAACCGCTTCCTCCCACAACGCCACCCTTAAAAGAAACACCTCCCAGCAAACTATGCACCAAACATTTTCTTTTCTCGCACACAAGAATGTGGAAGCTCCGGCCCGACGGAGAGGATTCTTCTTTTTTAAATGGCACAATAGACGTCCTCGGCGTCTCACCTCTTCTTCCCGCTCGTGTTCTGCTTCAACAGCTGCACCTTATCAGCCCTCTGGATTAGCGCTGTCTTGCACAATCCGTCGTCGAGCCCCCTTTTTTTTTTTTTCTAGCCTCCTCCTCCTCCCCTCATTTCCTCTTGGCCCGGTCCACCTCTTTCTCATTTGCCTCCCGAGCTCGATCCAAGTCCTTCCACTTCCTCGCAACTCAAAGTGTCCAGACAGTCGCGCACCTGGAGCACCTTGTGCTCTCGCGATTGGTTCCACATGTTTACCAAAAGTGTCGTGAAAGCCATCCATCTCCGTCCCCCCTCCACCTTCTTTCTTTCCTCATCTCCATCTTTCTTCCAACATGACCCTCCCCCACCGACTCAACCCCTCATTCCAATCCCAAACACCGGCTTCCTGTCTCTCCTGGTCCCTCGGTGTTTTCTTAGTCTACCTTTTTTTTTTGTTCCCCCTCCTCTTTTCTCTGCTGCGAACCAGAAGTAAGGGACCCCAAACAATCACACTCCCCCCTCGATCCATCG